AACATATTCATGATAAGCTCACATTGTTAACAGTGGGAAAAATAGTCATCATTCAAAAGTTCACTAAGTTCACTGCCTAGAACACAAATCATCCTGTGAATAAATTTTCACGGGAAATTTCTCAGAAAAATACTCCATGCCAATCAAAAAGCTGTATATTATTATGAAGTAATCTCCCGTGCTCATCATGCAAACCCGCAAAATGACTATTTATTTTCATCGAAATTTTTGAATTAAAGTGAAAAAGTAACTAAAGTAACTTTCGGTCTTGTAACTCGATCTCCATGCTAAGAATGCCCGGTATGAATGTTACACAAATTATAGTATTTTTTGATCGACTGCATTATTTACGTGACAGACACTGGCCGGCCCATGTTCGACATACAACAACAAAAATAAAAACAAGACGTCCGAATGAAATTGTTAGGGCAAAATTAGATTGTATGTCGCACCAAAGAGCTACGGAACCGCAGCTAACCTTCCATTATTTCTGAAATCGTGCTGCAGTACGATCAACTTTCCGTTTCTTGGTGCTGTCAGGGTTAGGACACCCATGGGTTTCTGGTTCTGAACACGATTTAGTGGTTTCTCCATCTCGTCATGAAAAATACTCGTCGAGCAGTTGTCTGCTATTTTTTGAAGTAGTCTCCATTTTCAATAAATAAACGAATCACGTGTTTGATAAGGGCGACATGAAACTGTCCCATACTGAGAGTAATGTCGCGGGGTATCTTGAAACGCATGTCGACTAAACTACGCATGTGCGATGACACCAAAATAACTTTAGAGTGGGAAAAAATACATTCAGTGGCAGCTCCGTGTTGATCGCGATCACCATGTACCAATTGTTGCAATCTTAGAAGTAAGGGTATTTTGTACAAAATGTGTTCGTAAATCCTACTAATAGATATTTATTTTGTTCGTAAATCTTGTTCAAATTTCGTAATTTACGCCATTTGCGAGCGACAGCGAGAGCACAGATGCCTTAAATATAACCAGTCACTCTAAGTCTGAGAATTACAAATTACTTGTTGAGTAATATAATACAAGTAAAAATATAAATAACATGTGTATCATACCTGAGGCTTTAAAAGATCTTCCTCGCAATAACCTCCAGAATTTGTAAAAAATTCTGCCAGGAACTCCATTATAGAAGGAAGTGTCAGAGTTGGAAAATCAAACTGAGGCATTTTATCTTCTATTGTGCGGTCTTCAAATGTCTGTGTAAATAATAAATAAATGGTATTTAAAGTCTGATAACCTGCCTACCATTCCATGATCAGCTCCACAAAACTAATATGGTCTGAGGTATAGAATGCAGGAATTTAACCACATACTCTGGCCTTACAGAATATTGACCAGTCCGATGAACTGATGGCTTCCATTAGGAATGAATTTTGATGAATGAGAACTGTATTTCATTTTTTGAAGGACATTAGTGTAGTAGGGATGTAGAGTTGGGCAGGACTCCAGAGTACCTACACTTTATGCAAATTTTTTTAAATGCTAATTTATTCATGACCTAGCAGTTTCTATGCTCATGAATATTCATTAATGTGTGGGTCAATACATTCTAAAAGGGGGGATATATAATTTTTGGGGGAAGAGTTAGAAAGGGAAATTAGCAATCCTGCAGCTGTCAACTGTGTTCGTACTTCGACGATTCGTTGGCTTCGACTGGCTTCCATGCGAGGTAGTATTCTTGTGTTTTGTTTTTCTGACTTGAGTTCTTGATATACAGAAGATGCTGTTTATGTTTTTAACGTCTTTCATATCTTGTAGGAGTGTCCTGTCCGTGATTTGAACTTGCAATCTTTGAGTTCCCAGCGCACTGTCTTGTCCACTGTACCACGAGTGTCTTCACACAAGTGACAGGATTTAAGTCCTACTTATAGGAGCACTGTTTTCACTAGCATTCAAAAATAGTGCTAACCGTACTGGATTCGAACCAGCGATCTCTCACATTGATGACATTGTACATATCCGCTGAACCATATGGGGAGTCATGCAAATGAAAGATTTTTTTTCATATTTAGCTTTATTGCAAATTAGTGTTTGCGAGAAAAAGACTGGCAGGCATGGGAATTGAACCCAAGTCCTCAAGATCACTGACCGGCCCACAAGACCACAATGGATTGACTGGATGTGTTTGCATTTGATGAGACTATATAGTGTTTATATATACAGAAATACAACATATTTCTATTATTGAGTTACAATTGTCCAAAAAATTGCCAATTTTGTGTTTTTACTTGTCTAAACTATATGCATGCCATAACCCGTTAGTGTATATCATACCATTGGATATTTGCCATTTGCGTTGCCCATACCTGATCCGACCCTAACCCTAATGCCAAGACACGTTCCTGTTAATAATTCCGTTGCCCATACCTGACCCGACCCTAACCCTAATGCCAAGACATGTTCCTGTTAATAATTGCTCAATAATGATACTCTGCTGTGCATTGTCTGCGGGTTAGTTGCATTGATGTCAACTGATTAAACAAGTCGCGTTTAAGTAATTTCCACTATTAACAAGTCATTGAAAATGACACAGTCCCCGTTAAATTAAGTTCTCATTGCCCCCTGTTTAATAATTCATGAGATGACGTAATGTTTACTGGGCATTGACACGTGTTTTTACCGACCCCATCAAAACACTGGTATGAATGACGTTTTTCTGATTTATATATTCAAGAGCAGTTGTTCTGGTCCAACGATTTTACATAAAATGTCTATGTCTATACGTTAAATTTCAATAGTCTAGAAAGTA